GAAAATCAGCAGGGGAAAGGTTGCAACTGTGTCTTTTCTCTTGCCATACTAGTTTTCTGTGCTATTGGTGGAATATTGTTGGGCTTGGTTTTGGGCTGAGCAGAAATCTTTAATTTGCACTTTAATCTGAAGCCTTGAGTGATACAATCCATCTACAACAGGAGGGTGGATCTGTGACCCCCCCTGGCCATTGTAAGATTATTACCCCTGCCATCCCGATTGACCAAGGTAACTAGAGCTGATGGGAATTCACCAATGGCAAGTGGGCTACTTGTTCCCCATCCCTGAGAAACAGGTTTATACTTTTGTCTCTACCTGGGGAGAATTAGGCTTCTAGCAAAGTTTCTAATGGAAGCAGCTTCACCTACAGGATACGGTTGGCCTTTGCCAACACAGCAGTCGGGACAGAAACTGTCCCAGCACCTCAGGCCCATCTCTGTGCAGGTGAGAGGGGCCCCAGGAAAGAAAGGATGTGGGTGGAGGTGGATGTATCTGCTTTAGGAAGCACCTGCTTTAAGATCAGCCCAGGCAAAGAATTTAATTAAGAAACTGCTTTGCAGAGTCAATCCTATCTCACTTTGCAGCTGTAGTTAGTATTCCTGCTAGGCTGGGAGGGAGGCAGACAGAAAATATCCATAGCCTCTCTTTCGGCCTGGCTAACATCCCTCCCCCATATCTACTTGTCAAACCAGGGCTCTAAGGCCTGGTTCAGTGGAAATAATAACACAAAGAGAGCACAATGGGACATGCCCACCTGTACAGGTTAGTAACCACAGCCATCCCCTGCACTCTCACCAGGGATGAGCAGAAATACTGTTAAAACAAAAAATGGCATGACACACGGCCACAGGACGCTTCATTTTAGGAACTAAAATTTGAGCCAGTGAGATCAGCGACTGCATTTTAGCACTCTTAATTTGTTTTGGACTACATATCCTGTCATCCCCAGCCCGTTTGGCCAAGAGTGAGAGATGTGGGATTGACTGTCAATACCCTGGAGACCACAGGTTCCCCTGTAGGGCCATGATGGATGTGGATGATAGGCATTATAACCTAATATATTTAGAGTGCACCACGTTGAAGATACCTGAGTAAGTGAAATACGGAGCACCTTTGAGAAATACATAATTGCATCTTCATGTGACCAGTTTCAACCCCCAAACCAGTTTTGAAAGAAGCAACTCATTCTGTGACCATGTAAACCGTAAGCTACATTCAGCCATTCAGATGTTGTCAGACTACAGGTCCCATCAGCCCTACCTAGCATGCCCAAGGGTAAAATGCTTAGCACTGCAGTTCAGCAACATCCAGATGTCTGAGCCTTTTCTAGCACTAATGTAAGTCATAAACCAGGGCCAAGAAACCTATGGATCTCCATTATGGCATTTCATACCATTGTTGGACTACAACTCCCATCAGACCCAGCCAATCCAGTCTGTTGTCAAGGGTGAGGAGAGCTGTCCTCTACCAACATCTGGAAGGCTACAGGTTCCCTCCTGTAAAACTCAAGCAAGTGAGGACAAAGGCTTCGGGAGTGAACTGAACTGGGGCCGGGGCATGTGGGTGGGGGGGTGGGGGAAGACAAGGAATGAGTCAGTGTGGCTAATCCTGGGAGTGGTGCAGGAGGCACAGGAGGACGCCAGATTTGGAAAGCCCTTACATAACAGTTCTAAGGGAGATTTAAACCCATTGCCCTCAATTCTCTTACATAAAAGGAGGCATTAGTGCCCAAGCAGGCTCCCAGCAAGGAGAGCAGTTGCTTGCTCTCCATAGCCTCCATTTGGCAAGGCTGGCTGAGGCAACACAAAGCCTTTAGGCTCAGGCAGACAAATCCCTGAGAAACACACACACTCTCCCTCTCTCTACCTGATGCTATGAGCATTTTCTCTGCAGCACCTGTTAATCCCACTGCAGAGGATAAGCTAGATGTGTGATGGAGGTCCTGCCACTGACTAGCCCAACCAATTTTTTTGTTTTTCTTTCTCTCTTCCCACCTTCTCTCCTTTCTCTCAAAGCCCTTTCTCCCCCCCTCCCCCCAAACATCCTGGACTCCTGAAAAAGAAACCAAGGGCTGCCTTTAGGCAGCTTCTGAAAAAAGGTCATGGCCCAATGAAATCTTAAGAACCGTGTGGGGTCCTAGGATTTCAGGGCGCCCATCTGTGCCCTATGTGCTAAATGCTGCAATGGATGCTTCACGCTTCTTTATCAAGCCCAGGAGAGCTCCATCAGGGCGTGGATGCTTCACGCTTATCAAGCCCAGGAGAGCTCCATCAGGGCCATGCTGACAGGGAGATTTCTTTCAGCCCCCAAAAAGAGGAACTTTCATGGGGTTTGCTAGGCCAGTTCATCTAAACAAGAATTTCCTTGAGGCAAACTCGAGTTCCTAGAAAAAATTAAGTGTATGAAGCTAAGCAGCTTACTTTCCCTTTACTACTCAGCAATCCTAATAACCTCCCAGCATATCTGAACACTGGGATAGTACAGGTGCAATAGAAACCCCTGTAATCAAGAGGGTAAGACTTCTAGGCAAAACCTGAACTCTACTATCTCTTGGTTTAAAAGTCAAGTATGCCTGCTGTCTCAGTAATTGCTCTCGTCTATGCTTAATTGCAGACTTGAAATCCCTTCCCAGCTGGTTTCGCTGCTGTAGCTCTCACCTGGAATGCAAGACCAGGCGCCAGGGAAGAATTGCATAGGTGTCATAACAACATTCTTCATTTTTTAACCCAGGAAATCACATACACCAAGACCTCTTGCCAGTGCTGGAATTCAGTTCACCAATAAGGGGAAAAATCCCAAACAAAAAACTAGCTTTCCCTATTCTGAAGTTCAACAGCCCAAGAAACCCCTTCTGTGTTTTGAAAGATAAGCATTGGAAACAGAGGAACCAGATGTCTACATTTTTGGAGAAGACCTAACCTTTAACATACAGGATCCTCTAACACTGTGCAAATGTGCCTAGGCTGTTAGGTCAATATGTTGCAGCAAAAACAACAGAAAATAAAACCCTTGAGTTTTATTTGGTATTCATTTTCATAGACTATAACCTGCTTTAGCTTGATGAAGAGGCCTATAGTCCATAAACTTTTGTGCCAAATAAACCTGATGGGTCTTCAAATAGCCAGAATACTTTGGTTTTCTTAAACCTATGGTGTGCTTTTTAATGTGAATTACAAAGTAAAGACAACACAAAGTAAATGTTTACTGGGGCCAGTGGTTCTCAACCTTGGGCAACCCAGGTGTTTTTGGACTGCAACTCCCAGAAGCCTTCACCACCAGCTGTGCTGGCTGGGGTTTCTGGGAGTTGCAGTCTAAGCAAAACTGGGTGACTCAAGGCTGGGAATCAATGACTGGAGGGAAATCAGCAGGAACGAGAATGGAAGGATACACTTCTCCACATAAATGCTGATCCAGAACTTGAATAATTTCACCTTTTCAGAAAAGGCCTGGGACGGGGGTGGGGGGAGGCATTTAACACAAAGAGGAATTGGCAGGCACAGGCAGAGGAAAGTTGTCTTCCCTTCCCACTGACTCTCATCTAGAAAACCTTCCTCTTCTGCTCCTCCCACAGCAGGCATCCTTGTAATCTAGAGAAATGTGGGTTCAGCAGCTGAGATGACATATTTCCCCAAGTACTGTATGCGCTGCTGACTTTTAGACATTCAGTAGGGAAGGAAGCCCAAATACTTAACTCTTTGGTATTCACTGGCAAAGCAAATATTTGTGCCTTTGTAACATGCAGGGAAGAATTGCAATGTAGAAGCAGAACTGAACACATCTACTGACTTTTAGACATTCAGTAAGGAAGGAAGCCCAGATATTTACCATAACTCTTTGGTATTCACTGGCAAAGCAACTATTCGTGCCTTTGTAACATGCAGGGAAGAACTGCAATGTAGAAGCAGAACTGAACACATCTTTAGTGAATATCCTTGTACATATGCAGGCTAGAGTAGCAGACCATCTGGAAATATTTTTTTAAATACATTTGCCAAGCCCCAAACACAGTCCTTTCAGTCTCAAGGCTGAGCCAATGCCAGCATAACAGCTGTGGACAAACATATACAAATTTGTTCTGACCGATGGGAGTTAGACGCAGTAGTGGCTACAATTAGTAGGAGAGCTGGCTAGTTGCCATACTCTCTACGCCCCTCAGCCTAGACATGTGGGGTCTGGAAAAGATAATCTTCTGACAAGACAAGCACAATATGTTTGTCTTGAGAGACAAATTTTACTGTGGAAGCTGTGACAATTCCGAAGATCTCCAAGAATTTCTCGCTTCTTATAATCACATCGTATGATGTTATATGGATGAGTTACTGTATTGATCATATTGTTTGCAACAGTCACCTCTTTTTAAAAGTGAATTTTTTTGCATGTCCAGAGGCTTGCTTTATTATCAAAGGCCAACCTATGGATTGAAAATTAATTTCAGGAGAGGGCCTCCCATAGGCCACTCACCAACACCTCTGTGGGCCAGCTGCTGAAAAAAACCTAAAGTCTAAAAATGGCCGGTTATACTCTCAAACACTTCCAAGAGACACAACTGACCATTTAAAAGGGATCCTCCCCCCACACACACACTTTGGCTCGAAATAGCATTGCTCCCCATTTTATTTTATAAAAGATGCAAGCATTACTCCCTGAGATTGGGCAAGAGTATAGAAATGGGTTGGGTTCAGCCTCTAGACCCTTGGTAGATGCTAATTTCTTTCCTAGCCTTTAATTGCCCTATGGACAGGGAGCACAGACTGTGCAATAGCCACGCTGGCAGTCAGTGCTGGGACTTGCAGTTTAACACCTCTGGAACTGACCAGACTGGACAGTTACAGCTCATAGACATGTTTATGGGAAGAGCATCTAAGTCAAAAGAACCTTTTTAGGGAAAGTTACCATCCAGCCCCTTTGTACCATCTTTTGCTTTTTATCAATGAGTCCAAGCAAGCTGAACTGTATCTCTCCCCCAAACCAGCCAACAAAAAGTTACAAAAATGCCTTGCCCAGCTTTGCAGACAGTATATTTAATAAGTTAAGGTTTGTTTCTTTTTGTTTTTTAAAAAAACACACACATACCAAGAGCCACCCCAAAAGGCCCACCTTCTGGAGACTTTAAAAATATATATACAAAATTGTTTATACAGTATATGTAAACAAATTGAGGCAGGAGTGAGCTGATGATACCAAGAGTCTGTAGCTCAACTTCCAGTTATTTTGAGGATCCCCAGTCTTTGCCATGTTGACATCCTCCTTAGTGTAAGAGGAGGCTGCCTGCATGTAGTCTTACAAGTCCACGGCGTGTTCATTTTCAACAATCCACAAGTCCATTAAATAGGAAACAGAAATCTATGCAATGTTGCATCTGTGTATTGCTCTGAATCATTGCCTTGGAGTAGTCATTAACTACTTTCGAGGTGCAAAACATCCCAGTTGCTGCCTTTTCTCAATGCTTCTTCTTGCTGCCGCGAAGGAGCTTTTTGCGTTTGAGAATCATTTCATAGAGTTTCTCCAGGCCTTGTTGGAGGCCTAGCCCAGTGACAGCGCTACAACCCTGGATGTGGCTCAAGGTGGAGGCACAGAATTCATGCAAGCCAAGCAGTTTCTCCACCTCAGCTACTGAGAGTGCCTGAGTGACATCCTGTTTATTGGCTAGCACCAACACGGGAACCCCTTGGTTGTCTGAGGAGCGGACAATCCTGTGCAGCTCTACACGAGCCTCCTCCAGACGGTCGACCTCTGCGGAATCGACCACAAACACAACTCCATCTGTACGGCGCATGTAGGACTTCCAGAGAGGGCGCAATTTCTCTTGGCCACCCACATCCCACACTTGGAAAGTGATGGCCCGAGAACCACCCAGTGGCACACGGATCTTCTCCATGTTGAAGCCTTTGGTTGGCGCGCTTTTGACGAACTCCTGGAACTTCAGATGGTATAGGAGAGATGTTTTGCCAGCTGAATCCAGTCCGACAACCACCACATGCACAGCCTGCAAGTGGGGCAGGAAAGGAGGCCCGGGGGCCAGCTGGTTCCCCATTGTCCACTGGAGCAGTGCCAAACCTTGGAGAGTGCTGCTTGCTGGTGTTTCACTGTTCACAGCAGTTGCAAAACTGTGACAACAAGATACAGAGAAATAGGTAAGCTGAACGCAAACATTGTGTCACCCTAGGTAAACAGCTTCCTGCTTAAAGAACTAGCCTTTCCAAGTATTTTAATGAAGCTCAATGGAGGGAAATTTAGGGCAGATAAAAGGAAGCATTTCTTCACAAAGCACACAGTTAAGCCATGGGAAAATAAAAAGCATAGCACATAATAGCAGCTATTATTAACTATTATATAGCAGCTTTAAAAGTGGGATTAGACAAATTCAGGGAACATTAAGAGTATCAATGGTCATTTCTAATTATAGTTGAATATTGCCTCCAGTATCAGAGGCAGTTGCTGGGAAACATGAGTGGCTGGCTGTCCTCATGTTTTGCTTGTGGCTTTCCAGAGCCATCATTACACTGAATTATATGGGCTTTTGATTTGGACCGGCAATCCTACTCTATTGTCCTAGTTCCTGACCACCTGTACCACGTTTGAATCTTATTCTGCCTTTAGCATAATTCTAAAGTCAGACATCTCAAAGGCCCCAATGCAAATCTTGTTTTCTCAGCACAAAAGAATGTTCCTTACAGAGAAGATGATGGTGATTCATATGGAAATAAGCCAAGGATGTGCACAGAATATGTTGAAATCCCATCTGGTCAAATAAGACACAAAGTTTTTGAACTGTGTCTTATTTCAAATTTCTCTTGAGCAGTTTCCCTTCTGGTTATTTGTTTTAAACCACACTCCATATTCATCCAGAAGTCGTTCACAGACTAAATGATACATTAAAACATTGATACAATATAAAATGAACCAGGCACAAGACTAAAGTAGCACAAGACCAAAATCCGTACAACAACCAGAAAAGAAAGTACAGTAGTTCATGTTCAGAGACCTAACTGTACTACAACAGCAAAGTAGGTTTGCCTAATTTTGCAAATTTAGCAGAGACAGATTTCTGTTCACCCTACAGCAGACAAGACTACTGGGTGTGCTCAAAGCCAATCTAACTCAGAACACCTTAAGTGATGCATTGAGGCACCCATAAATTTCTCTACCTCTCCAGTGTTTCCCAACTCCATCAAGTCAACAACAGAATAAATGTTATAATGAGCAAGCATCAGGACAGGTAACAAAAGCCCTCTGCAGCCAAGGTCATTGTAAAAGACTGCTTCCAGTGTTTCCCAACTCCATCAACAGTCAACAACAGTATAAATGTTATAATGAGCAAGCATCACAGACAGGTAACAAAAGCCATCTGCAGCCAAGGTCATTGTAAAAGACTGCTGAAGGTGAATGTGTGTCTTAGGGAAACAAAAACCTTCTTTAGTATTAATATCAAAAGAACGTACATATACTGAAGGAGAGGCACAAGAGATGCTGCTGGTGCAGAACTGCTGGAGACAAGAGGTTCCAGCACTAAACGTCCACCTTCAAGTCATGTCTTTTGCTAGGAGAGCTGCTGTTTCACTGCTCTTTACTGCAGCTGAGCGGCCATGCCTTAGTTATGAAGGGGAAGAATACCTGCACATCAGTAGAGGACTCCAGTAGAGATCCCTCCTGCATCTGAACCAGATACTGCATACAACAAATTCAATGAGGTATGCTTTGGAGTAGGCATGTAATCTATTGATTTGTACACAGCACAGTCCTGACTCCCCTGGTGCTCAGATCAAACCTCCTCCAGTGGGCTTTTCCCCAAAAGTATATATATATGCGACATAAACGTCAAGGACAGAACATCATTTGCTCCGAACAGGCTGCAGAAACCTCTTTACAAATCAACAGAACTAGTATCCCGTGTACAGGACAGAGGTTGCAAGTGCTGCATACATAATTGTTGACTCAGGTCACTATCTCTCCTTTGCAAAGTGTTTACTCTGCAGAAAGAGACACGAGCGCTCAGGTCTTTCTGGAAATACTCCTCACTAGAACTTAATGGTTTGGGTATCCGGCTCCGGAGTCAGAGGCCGAGAGTTTGAGTCACCGGTGTGCATCCGAGAAGAGGCAGTCGGTGTGGCTTTGGGCAAGCAAGCTGCCTAGGCCCAGGATGCCTCTTGCAGAAGGGAACGGTAATCCACTTCTGAGCTCTCTCTACCTAGAAAACCCTGGAAAGGGTCCAGTCAGTCAGAATCGACTTGACGGCACGCAATTAATTAATGAGAAGCACCGCTCTCCGGTGTTAGGAGCTCTCCGTACTTCACTGCGACAGGGAACTCGTATCACTCTGTACATGCTCAGAGATACTTTCGCTCACTCAATTTTCATATTTCTAGGGGAAAGCGTTAGCAATTAAAACAAATGCCGAGCTGAATCCCGAAGCACATTTAGCCCCGAGCGGAGACGTCGAGAGAGCCCGACGTGCTTACACACTCCAGAGAGATTTACCTCCATAGAGATGCCAAACGTCGGCTGGTCTACGGCGGGCTGCCTCTTCCCACCACGAAGCATCCCGCCCCCGCACAGCCGCTCCGCGCCACCGCTCGACACCCACTGAGCTCAAAAAACGGCAGCGGGCGGGCGCGACGGGAGTCCAGCTCAAAGGCGGAGCTACACCCGCCAGCCAATCGGCGCTCCCCTGACTCAGCGCGAGCGGTTGGGAGGAGCCGCGGGGAGGGCGGCGAGAGAAGCAGGAGTTTTCTGGGTGAGGGCCAATGAAAAGCACGCGAGAGCGGCTGCGCATACGCGGCCAAGCGGACAGGAATCCCTCCCATGTATTGGCGGGATTCAGTGCAAGCCCCTCGTTTACAAATGGAAGGGCTTAAAAGGGCTGAAGAAAGGCACGTGCCTTAGAGTGCATCCCCAGAAAGCGCGGCTTAATTTTTCATCCGCAGAATCTGAGTTGGGAAATAATAAATGAGAGCATGCCTCGAAGCACGTGCCGAGTTCTTTTTATTGCATCCATAGCTACTGGATAAATTACGCTTCTCCTCCACGGTAATAATAGTCAGGAGCACCACGAGGCTTCATCCAGGTGTCCCGGGCAGGGTGAAGCCCCGGCGGAGGCCTTTGCGAAAAGAAGGCTACTTAGAAACTTTTGATTTCAGTTTTTCGCCATCGGCTTTGCGTAAATCATTTGAGTTCCGATCCTTTCGTCTTAAAATCTGGAATGCAGGTTTTAAGGCAAACACAATAGCGATCTGTACGGTTCTGAGACGTCTTTGATAGTACTGTACATGCTTAGTTAGAATTTCTGTTTCTCTTGTGGGAACTCACAACCCCGAGTACACACAGGTCCCAGACCTTTCAGTATTATGTAAGGCAATTAAGATGATATGTCTCTCCCCCCCCCCATGTGCAAAGTGCCCTAGCTTTCACGTGCGAAGTAGCCGAATTACTGATCCCTTGCAAAAGGAGGCACTACAGCAAATCAGGTTGGCTTCTGGTGATATTTTCAGTAGTGACCGGCCATGTTCATCTATTCCAGGCTGTATAATCCCCGGAAAGCAAGGCAAAGCAATCCTTGTGTACCACCTTCAAAACGAACAGATTTTTTTTGTATGAGACCTTTTATGAGATCATTTTCAAAAGCGTAAATTGCATACCTCACCCGCATGGGGCGCGCCACGACCACACTGTATGCCCGTTTGCGTCTCTTTAAATAATAAATAAATTAAGGATTTAATTTATGCCTGCACCCATGCTGTTGAATAGTCTTCCTTATAAATCTCTGAGATTTTCCGATTACGAAGAACAAGCAGAGTTTTGTAAGGATCGCTTTTTTATCCTCCAATGCTGGCGGAAAGATTCTGGGAACAATAGTCACCCAAAAAAAAAGCAACGTTCACAACTCTGAGAATACAGTAGTTGCCGCAAGGTGTTTTATTTTCTTTCTAGACGAGTTTCCCGCGCTCCCCTTGTTTCCTCTGTCTGGGGAAAAGTGGGTGACAAACCAGTGGCTTTTGCTGCCCTCTGGTGGCCTCGAGTGCCACCCGCCGGAGAGGCCCTCCTGCGTCCTTTCGGGTTGCCGGGCATCACGGCATTATGAGACTCGACGAGCCTCGGCCGACGGCACAGCAGCGGCTTCAAGTTGCCAGCCGAGCCGGTAGGGGCTGGCGGGCGAGCGCCATAATGGCTGCCGCCTACCACTGGGAAGCGCGCCGGAGGCAGCTGCTGGTGGAGAAGCGGCTTCGGCTGATGCAGGTGTCCTTGGGCTGAGGAGAATCTAGGGAGGAAAAAGGGGGCTCAGAAGGCAGGGTTGGGATGAGGAGAGGAATGAAATCTGTGGAGGAAGATCACCGAGAGAAAGAGGGGGAGAGCAAACGGAGGGAAACACCCAAGAAGGACCAGGGAGGAGTAGAAGAAGGGGAGCATCTGTTGAATCTCCGCCTGAGCAAGGGGTCAGGTTAAAAGACTAACAAATGTATGGTGGCATTCACTTTTGTGCTCTGATTCCAGTCCATCAGGGAACCCCGTGAAGTGCCACCTTAAAGCGGCAATGCCTCAAGCTAGAATGCTCCAAAGATAATGGGCTACAACTCCCACCCGTTGCTGGCAATGCTGGGGAGGACCCCGGACTAAGGGGTGTGGAGAAAAACACCTCTTCTCCCCCCCCCATCCGCTAAACCTGGCATGCCTCTGTGACTTAGGGTGGAATGTAGAAAATGTGCATACAGTATCTAGGACCTCCTGGGAAGGAACACTAAGTATAGTGCTGAGGGTGGAAATTGTGCTGAGGGTGGAAATTGCCAATCCAAATTGGAAAGGTCGGTGTGCTTGTTTTTTTTTTGCAGGAGAACCTGAAACCAGCTTTTTGGGAAAACAAGTGTTATAAACCTAGTGTTATGGAGAAAACAGTGGCATGCGGTTATCACTGAGCAAAAAAACTCTGAAGAGATGACAGGATGCACATACTGCAGTATGTCAAAAAAGGCATCACATCAAGCTAGAAACCCCAAAAGAGGCTCATACTGCGGTACAGTGGAGCCAGACCTCTTAGGGGTAAAGCCCATGGACTTTCTGAGTGGCAGGGACTATGATATTACTTACCACTCCTTAGAGCTTCTTCTTCCTTGAGTTTAGCTGCAGTCGTCATAGCACTGAGAGAAACGGATTTTCCCCAGAAACAGTATACAGTATCTGTTGTAATGCAAAGGATTTAAAGGTGGTTTCCTCGTGAATGGACAGTTAAGAGACATTAACTTTATAAAAGATCTGCTCCTTATTTGTTGTTACAGTCCAGTCCAGCTGCCTGCATTTTTCATTCTCCTAGGAAGAGGGGTCTGGCTATGGGATTGTCGTGATGCTTCCAAATTTACTACTACATCACTGTATTGCTACCTGTGGTTGTAACTGTGGATGACAATACCAGGCCCCAAACCTTATTTAGTGTTGTTTTTCCCTTAGCCAAATTGCATGAATTGATTTTGAGATGGGGAGTGAAATCAGGCTGTTATTCAGAGGAAAGTAGTATGTGGCTTCAATGACAGGGTGCAAAAAGAATTTGTTGTTAAAAGATGTAACAAAACTTGATGGTTAAAAAAAATTTGGGGAGCTGGGAAGTGTGCTTCTGCCCATGTGCCCTTTTTATGAGCTTCTTGAAAGGCATCAGTGTGGGGATACAATGCTATGCTGGATTGCATGGGCTTTTGATCTAAACCGGCACAGCTATTATACAATACGCCCATGTATTAACATAGCTAAATCCTTGGCCACAGACCTCTAGATATGCTTATGACTAGGTTTTAAAAAGGGATGAGAAGATTCATGGATTGTAAAGCAATGATGGCTACTACTGTGGTTCCCTGAAAATAAGGTAGGGTCTTATATTAATTTTTGCTCCAAAAATGCATTAGAGCTTATTTTCAGGGGTTGTTTTATTATTATTTTTCATGTACAACAATCTACATTTATTCAAATACAGTCATGTCATCTTCTGGTTGCTGCACAATGGTGGAGGGCGGGGTTTCACTTAACTGGGTCTTATTTTTTGGGTAGGGCTTATATTATGAACATCCCGAAAAATCATACTAGGGCTTATTTTCAGGTTAGGTCTTATTTTCAGGGAAACAGGGTAGCTGCAATGGCTGCATATTACTTTCAGTATCGGAGACTATATAGTCCCGAATCCTGGTTATTGGGAAACATGAGCGTCTCAGGGACATCTGGCTGGCTATTATGAGGAACAGAATATTGGCCTAGAAAGGTGCTTGGTTTGATTTAGCTGGGCTGTTCTTACCTTCTTAGCATAACTAGGAAATGTTATGTTACAGAAAATCTCAGCCAGCATGGCTAAAAAAGCTCTAGTTCTTAAGATAACATTTCCTGTGATGGATTCCCAAAGGCTCAGGCCAAAATAAATGCAGTGGTCTTTAAGGTACTACAAAACTTTTCATTGTTCCCGTTGCAGCAGTTTTAACTGAGTGGCTTCTCTGGAAATGGTCCTATTCTAAATGAGGCTGTAGGTTCATCTTTCTAACTAGTTGCACATCTGACTGGCAGTGGCTTTACAGAGCTTCAGGAAGAGTCTGTTGTTTTTGTTGTTCCTGGATGCTTTTAACTGGAGATGGCTCCTCTGGTGGTGCCATGGAAAAATGGAAAGGGTTGCAGTCATACGGTATGCAGAAGGTCCAGGGTTCAATCTGCAGCATATTCTGGTACAGTGATGGTGAACCTTTTTGAGCCCGCGTGCTCAAACTGCAACACAAAATCAACTTATTTATTTCAAAGTGCCAGCACTGCAATTAAAACCCGAATGCTGAGGTTTTAGTTTAGAAAAAACAACTGCTTCTGCACTGCAAGTGTTAAATGCTTGTGTTTTTTTTCTATGGGTGGTATTAACAAAGAAATACTTCCCGGTCCTTCAATCCCCTATTGGGCTAGACCGGTAATGGTTGCCATTGCACCCCCTTCGCTGGACCACTGCACCAACAGAGGGGATTGCCAAAATCTGGGATTGGAGGATGGGTAAGTATTTCTCGATAGTGACTTATGGCTCGGGTGCCCACAGTGAGGGGCCTGTGTGCCAGCTGTGGCACACGTGCCATAGGTTCGCCATCGCTGTTCTGGTAGGACTGAGAAAGAACCTTGTTGAGCAGGGTCCAGTCTTCATAGAGCAGCCTTCCCCAAACTGGTGCGTTCCAGATGTTTTTGATGAATAGTTCCATTGACTATACTGGTGGCAACTAATGGGGGCTGCAGTCCAGTAATATCTGGCGGGTACAATGTTGGAAACAGCTGGTGTAGACAATGCACTGCATGTTATCAGCTGCTTTGTTTCTTCATCTGCTGGTCAAAGATGCTTAAGATAAATTGTGAGTGGGAGCTACCACGTGCCTGGAGGAAAAACAATCAGCCAGAAAAAGATGAGGTGGGAGCAGTACAGGGAAGAGCAAACCAAATATTTGAGGTGCAGAAGACCGAGGAAGAAAAACAATGTCAGAAAAACTGGCAAGAAATGTTTAACTGGTCTGTTAGTGATTCTTGCACTCTAAGACAAAGTGCAGACGAGAAGTAGAAGCAGGCTGAGCTACCCTTCAGCACTAAACAATGGTTGGGTGGATGGGGGCAGGAGAATAAGATACTTCC